GCAAAGTCGCAGCATAAGCTGGCAGTGCGGCCTTCATGGAGCCCCTGTAAACTCGACGCCTGCGAGTATACAGTTGCGAGGCGAGACGCCAACACGCAATAAATCAACCTATTTTACGAAGAAGCGAAGCGCCCCCCATCTACGTGTTTCTAAGCCAAGATCAGTAGCTGCACTCTTTGTTGTTGCTGATGAGGACATAAAGAATTATTGTTGAGCCAAGGAATGGGTGGGAACAGCCCACTCGTTGCGCTATTTACACGGTGTGACCCTAGTATGCATTACGCTTGTATAAGGTATTTTTTTTTTATATCTCAGAAAGATTGAAGCAATGACTAGGCTCTCTGGTAGACCACATGCTTGCCACGCAGGGGGCCGGCGTTCGAATCTGAGATGAACCTTGTTTAAAATACAAAGCATTTCTCGGCGGACTGCAGGCATTATGAGCGTTTTTATCTACATCCGTCCGTTCGTCTGTCTAGTTGCCTACGTCTTGGTGATCTCGTGATCACCTGGGGATAAACCAAAATAAGTACGGGAGGATAAGAGGGTTGGAAGAATATGTGGCTGGTCATGACATGAATAAACCATGAAAATCCCGTCACTTTCGTCGTCAAACCCTTTCCTCCAGACTCGTGCGGCACATATCCCTATACGAAAAGCCCCGATATGCGGGTATGCGCCAAGTGGTCATTGACAGTTTATTCAGGAACGACGGGAACAGACATTGGTATCTGAAATGTGAGGGCGTTAAGAAAAACTGACATCGTCAGCATTGACCAGGTGAATGCAAAGAATAAATATGGGGATGTACGAGCAGGAGTCGAACCCGAGAATTCTGTGTGGTAATCGAGTCTTTTACCACGGAGTCACGCCAGGTCTCGTAAGTGCGTTGGAAGACGACCCTGTGCATGCGTAACATTAATTGGCATGCGTAACATTAACGTCAATTGTGGTTGCAGTGCTGGCTACCTAATTTATAAACATTACATATGTAATACTACAATACAGGTGTCACGTCTGGTTAACGTCAATAGTAGTCGAGAGCCATCCACTAAAGTTGGGCTACCTTCCTCGCACGCACAAGTGCTACATATATACCAGCTTGTCACTAATGGTGTTGACCATACCTATTTTGCTGGTGGCATGTTTACGCAACTGTAAACAAGTTATATAAAGCATATGCTACTGTTTAAAATATGTCTGTGCGTATAACATTTGCACACATATTCAGCGTCATTCCTTTTTCTCCTGAAAAAAGATTACACTACAATTACCTTCCATCTGAATGCTTCGCATAACGACGATTCTTATTGTACGTGGGATCTGCCGAATTTTTTTCCTTTTTTTTTCGTGCGCGTGATAGCTGTGACGGACAATTACGCCACCAACATCGGCTGCTATTGTGGGCTCATAACAGCTTACGCTCTAGAAAAAGATGTTATTGTAGATGATATACAAAATTAAGGAGGTGTGAGAGAAGAGCCTAAGCTGTTCACACTTACTCGGGCTAAATAAAATAATTGGAACCAAAAGACCAACACAGTGGATGGAATCCATTGTCCCCCTTTCTGTCTGCATTCTTGTCTCTAGTGCATAAAAAAACTATGAATGTCGGTGAAATACTTCACATACAAACTGCTAACCTGCAACAGCTTCAACGATGGAATCATAACCAGGAATAAGCGAATGTTAACGAGGACTTCAAGTTCAAATTACGCCGCTCTCTGTTATGGACAGCTAACATCACTTATGTTTCTCTTTTCAGTTTTTTGTTTTTCCACCAGGGAGAGAGGGAGGGTTGAAAGCGCCTTCGCTGCCGGAGAGATGAACGCTCGTGGTCTTGGTCGCGGCGTCGCTCTCTGATGCTCCACAAAAAAACGGCCAAGTCTGACGGGTTCCGATGAATCTGAGCGTCAATCTCTGGGTGATGGTAGCAGCACACACAGAAGACGACTTCGATTTGTTACACCTCAGTGCGGTCGGCTTTTGTGCGTCAAGCCGCCCCGGAACATCAGCAGGTATCTACCAGTAAGTTTCACTCTTTTTCTTGGGGGGGGGGGGGGAAGTTTCATTGCTGCCCCACGTTTACGTAGATGTATTCGGCGTACTTGAGGCCCTAGCTTTTATGTGCAATGTGTCAACTTCGTTCGGGCGGGAGCATTTGGCGTCTGCTGCAGCCTCTACGGGAAGACTGCACGGACATTAGCCTAGTGATTCGGAGCGCAGCACGGAGGCTGCTTCGTGTTGTTCATGTCGCAGACTTCGTGACGGAGACATGCAGCCACACGAATAAATAAGTACGTGTGGATGCACATTCTCCAAATGCCAACCTACAGTGAGCCAACCTTTGGTTCACCACGTCGAAAAACTGCTTGATGGGTACTTAAATTTTTGTTCTTCTGAAAATAACTTTCGTACTTACAGTGCTCATATTTGCAGCATTGTGTACTCTGTAACGGAATGGCGTCCAACAAGTAGACTTTGATCTTTTTTTATGTTCACCCTGTGCAGAATAACACTGATGTCCTTATGAACATTTTTCTTCGTTTTGTTGCATTTTTCTTAGTTCTGACAATTTTTTTGACAATATTTAACGTAAATTTGTATTTCGAAATTAATACCACTGGAAAGGCCGATTCCTCTCCTATCATTTAACACCCTACACTTTAGCATCAATAAATTCATGCGGTGGGAAAAAATATTTCCTGTACTTCCCAAACACAACCCATTTTACAGCGACCACGAAAGCGTCAAGATACAAATGGCTAGTATCTTATCAGATGTTTCTTGTGCTATTATCGTGTATTTGCATATTATACACATTCAGTCTCGGTATCTCGCAAGGTACTTTAATACCACTGCAAAGTACCTTTGCCCAGCCCTGGTCAGTAGATTTCGGTTTGGTTCTCCCAGATTGGCCATTTCAAAATACATTGCGGCGAACATTCTATCAGTAATATCAAGGGATGAGGCCAAATACCATCTTAAATGACTCACTTGTACGTAGGAAAGCGCATATTTCAGGGCTTCTTTTCTTTGTTAGACACAATATTAATGAGACGTAACAGACAATGATGCCAGGGAAAGTATAGGGGAGTTACTAGAAGTAATTGTACTATAGATTACAATTACTTACTATTGACTTTTTCCTCCACTTTTCTTTAAATTTACATTATGATTACTTCTAATAACTTCCTTTTACTTTCCCAGGCATTATTGTTTGTTAGTTCTCATTCCTCGTGCGTAGAACTTTATTCACAACGTCACACAATGCAGTCGTGATGTGCCCACTAACGTGGAGAAACAGACGTTCTCACTTGTCATATTCAAGTAAAAGATTTGGAAAGGCAAAATGAAAAGCAATTCTCGTTAATCAAAAATGGCACAACTAATTGCAAATATTGCAACAGTGGTGATTTTCTGAGGACAACAAGGCCTTTGTGATGAATTGTGAGGGCAGTGGACCATTCCGAGATTCTCAATTTTCAAGAACTGCAAGTTACATAAAGACGCTTCTCAAATGAGAATGTAAGTTATCAAAATATATATGCTTAAGTTTCCTTAAAGTAGACAACTACAGCATTTGCAAGTTAATGAAGCACATTTTGTTCGTTTCATTGCCGAGACCACAGGACCACAAAATTTGTTACTGACATTCCCCAGGTGGTCGGTTTCATCATTCACATATTTAACTGTTGTCATTATGCATACCGTTGAGTAACTTTCAACTCCTGGTGTCATACGCTGGTGAAACTTCTCTGTCAAAAGTTGTGTCAATTTTTTGGAGCCACGACTCTCGGCGACTCGAAGAATCAATCTGGTACCATCTCGTAAAGCGGCAACCCAGTTTTTATTCGTCTTTTACTATGGCTAAATTTGAACCGGCTGCTTCTATGCACTACCGATTGCGAACAGCTTTACGACGAATGCGATTTCTGCAAGTGTATCACGTTTTTAGCTGCTGATATAAGTTATCTTTGAATGCAGTATTTCGGATTTTATTTGCTTTTTAGTAATACATGAAAACCTGACAAGCAGTTAAAAAAGAAAGAGCTCAGATAACAGATCAGTGATCACCCAGGCGTACATGTAGAGAAAGAAAAAAAATATATGAGATAAGAAATGAGCGCTGCACAACTTATCCTCGCCACAGAATCTCGCGAGAACTCTCGATTGTACACCTGGTTGTTTCACCTTATTTCAGTTCAAACTCTAACGAGAGATAAACATCACAGCTTCTACATCTCATGACAAGAACAAGGCACAACGTTTATCAGACGCTTTCAAGTGGATACAGTCTTGTTTTTGTCATAAGCGGTTGAGTAAATAGCCAAAGCGACACCGCTATGGTACGCCCATATCAGTTCAGTACTAACACTGAAACTCGTTATATAGGAAATCGTTTAGTAAGTTACACTGTAAATGTGCCATTCACATCGTCGATCGGTGAAGCGATCACGGAAGATACCACGCAGCTTAGAGTTACTGAATGTGCTACCTTTAAAGGTAGCATATACAGTAACTAACGCAGCTGTGAACCGCGCGACGTGTCAGGAGTAAGTGAAACGGTCGATTAAAATTATTAACAATTCAGTCCACAAAATCTGTTTAAAACGTGCTTTTAAGGTACACTTGCTGGTATTCTGACCATTCTGGATAGTGAACGAACGATGATGAGCAGCCGGCACACAAGTTAGATCGAAATGAAAGATAGACGCGGTAGCAGGGAATGCACGCCTGTGGATTCAAATTGCCATACCAACGACGGTGCCAGGCATGTTAAACTGGGGAAGAGCGAGTGTGCCCAAATCACGGCGCACCAGGCGTGGCACCGAGGTTTGGGATCTTCTCCACTCTTCGTAGTGACCAAACATGCCACACGCCCCCTCCAAGCGCAGCTCTTGGAGTGTGCACGCACGGCTAGCAGCATGCGAGAGTTGCGGCCGCTGTGTCACTGCTAAACAATAGGTGACGACAACAAATGTTGCCACACTGCTCACCTTCCAAGTCAACAACCTTGCCGGCACGCTTGAGGGCCCTGACCGCTTCGTCGTGTGTTGCGTCCCTCAGGTCTTCCCCGTTGACCGACAGGATGGCGTCTCCGACGTAAAGTTGTTCCGTCGTGTCTGCCGCCATGCCTTTGAAGATCTTGCTAATTAGGATGGGCATCTTGTTTTCTTTGCCACCCTTTATGCTGATCCCAAGACCGTTGTTGTCCTGCTTAACTACTCGCACGACCCGCTTGGTGTTGGCGATGCTCTCCGGAATGTCGCTCGGTTCGCTATCCGAAAGCGTGCCATTATTAGTGATCGGTGGTACTTCGTAGCTCTCGTCCAGGCATAAGCTAAGATGGTCCTCTTCGAGCGTCGCCAGCACTTTGTGCCACTGCTGTTTGGCGTACACTTCGAGCACGCCCGTGCGAGTGTACGACGACGTCGTGGTCGCCATCTTAGCTACGACGGACGACGGCTCGCGAGCTGCTCCTCGTCTGCAACTGAGGGCGCAGCCGGCAGCACACGGCCGACCGCGCACGCGCAATGCCGAGAGGCCAAGGAGGCCGCGTAGTGGTGTAACCTCGCACTTCTCAGCCGACAGTGGTTTCGGTACACTGTAGTTTCGGTTTCAGTCATTCATTACAGTGGCTGAGCCACTCAGTTCCGTGTTCAAAATTTAAATGTACTGTGCATGGTACTGTCTCCATGCTACGGTGGCTAGAATATTCCATACATATTTGTCCGCATTCATGCGCACGATCTCAACGAGCACGCACCAGTCATGAGGGTCATGGTTCAGATAATTCAAGAAATACAGTGATTATAACCGCTTTTTTCTTATACAATTATTTTTCTTAGCTAATTGCGTAGTGTAGATGCCATTCAGTTACATCACATGACTCTTTACATGTCATTTGTATTCACTTATTAATTTCAACGAGGATCTGTGGTTTTTTTCTTGTAGTTATAAAGATAGTTAGAGCCTAGGTTCTAGATTTTTTTAGCAGTTTCGTATGTAGCAGTTAACTGTGTGATTTGTAATCTACATACAAGGTATTTGTGTATCAGTGGGTTTTAGAAGTTGCTATATGCGCTGAAGTTTGGAACGAGCACAAACATATTTATTTTGAAGTCGCCCCACTGGTTTTCTAACAAACTGTCTCACATGTCCAGCGGTTGAACGTTGAGCTACAGCTAATTGTTTAAATAATGAAGGGATGATGCGTATTAATTAAGGAGGTTACATTTGGTATTGTGTAGACAGTGTTGCTTATGAAGGAAGGCAAAACTCCTCCATGTTGTAATATGTAAATACATCTATAGAGAAACATACTTACGTAAAGAGCGCACGCTCCCGTAGGGCCCAATGGCTGAGCCACCATAGCTGAGCTGGGTGGATAGATACATGAATAGATGTGGCTGTACCCTTCAAATCGGGCGGCGGCTAGCGCCACCTAGCCGTAATACTTAGTGAACTAACAATTAGATTTATCTTTTTTTTTTCTTTAAATAGTGAGGTTGAGGATTCATACTTTGCAATGAAGGGTTTAATTTTCACTCGTGCCTTGACTTTAGCCACCAAACAGATAACCTCCTTCTAGTTAAGTCTACCCGCTTAAAGTCTATTTTGCCCTCCCTGTCCCTAAACCCCAGTGCTTTGAAAAACTCTGCGCCATCATCCTGAACTATAGGGTGAAGCCCCTTACAGAACATTATCAAGTGTTCAGCAGTTTCTCCTTCCTCTTTACACGCACTGCATACCGTGTCTACCCCTTCGTATTTGGCCCGATATGTCTTGGTTCGCAATACTCCCGTCCTGGCCTCAAACAGTAGAGAACTACCCCGAGTATTATCATAGATCCTTTTCTTGGCAATTTCCTGCTTAAAAGTTCGATAGATCTCTAGTGCGGACTTCTCAATCATGCCGATTCTCCACATGTCAGTCTCCGTTTCCTTCACTTTCTTCTTAACCGATAGTTCTCTTTGGTTTGGCCACCTGCTGTTTTCTAAGTATTTACCAGTCAACTTCCTGGTTCGCTTCCTCCATTTTGTATCGACATTCTTCATGTACAAGTAGCTGAAAACCTTCCTAGCCCAACGCTCCTCCCCCATTTCTCTCAATCGCTTCTCAAATTTTATCTTGCTGCTAGCTTCCCTGCCCTCAAATGATGTCCATCCCAAATCACCTTGTACTCCCTGATTTGGTGTATACCCGTGAGCTCCAAAAGCAAGCCTACCTATTCCACGTTGCTTAATTTCTAATCTTGCTTGAACTTCTGATCTCATGCACAAGACCTCATTGCCGAACGTCAGCTCAGGAACCATTACCCCTTTCCATATTCCTCTCACAACATCATACCTATTTTAATTCCACAGTGCTCTATTTTTCATCACTGCTGCATTCGTGTTACCTTTAGTCGTCACGTATATTTCGTGTTCCCTTAGGTAGTCGGTCCCCTTGCTTATCCATACGCCCAGATATTTGTATTTATCTGTTATCTCTAGCGCGACCTCCTGTATTCTAAGCTCACTACCTTCATTAACATTGAAAATCATGACTGCTGATTTTTTCTTACTGAATCTAAAATCTAACCTATCTCCCTCATTACCGCAGATGTCCATCAATCTTTGCAAATCTTCCTTGTTGTTGGCCATTAGCACTATATCATCTGCGTACATTAATGCTGGTAGTGCCTGATCAATAAGTTTTCCTTGTTTGACTAAAAAGAGGTTGAAGCCCAGTCCACTTCCCTCTAATTTGGCCTCTAATCCTTGTAGGTACATCATGAATAATAAGGGTGACAGGGGACACCCCTGCCTAAGCCCCCGTTTTACCTCTGCAGGCTTGGATACCTGTTTTTCCCACTTTATAACTACCTTGTTACCTTTATAGATATCCTTTAAAAGATTAGTGACTACATGTTTCACGCCTAGTGTGTCCAGTATTCCCCACAATTCCTCTTGAACCACGCTATCGTACGCTCCCTTGATATCCAAAAATGTTAGCCACAGGGGCCTGTGTTCCTTTTCTGCTATTTCCATGCAATGCGTCAGTGAGAATAGATTGTCTTCCAATCTCCTGTGTTTCCGAAACCCATTCTGCAGTTCCCCCAACACCCCCTCATCCTCTATCCATGCCTGCAGTCTTTCCTTTATAATCTGCATCGCCAGCCTGTAGACCACTGATGTCACTGTTATAGGACGGTAGTTGTTTATGTCAGCTTTGTCCCCCTTTCCTTTATAGATCATGTTCATCCTGCTAAGTTTCCATCCATCCGGAACTTCACCATCGATTATTATTTTGCTCACTGCCTCTCTCAAAGCCTGCATAGACTTCGGACCTAATGTCGTTATCAGCATAATTTGAATGCCATCTGGGCCTGTTGATGTACTACTAGGAACCCTTTTCTCAGCCCTTTCCCACTCTCGTTGTGAAAATGGAGCCATTGCACCACTTGATTCGTCCTTATCTATTGTGGTGCATAAAGTACTTCTTTGTTGAAATTTTTCTGTCATCTTTGTTCTTATATATTCAATAGCTTCGTCCCCTTCTAGCCTAGCACCTTGGGCTGTAGTTATAAACCTCTGCTCTAGATTTGTTCCATTTCTTAGGGAGTTTAGATGGTTCCAAAATTTCGCAGCTGCCTTTCTGTCTTTTTTATGTACTTCTGCCGGCCACTGAGCACCCTTCTAATCTTTTCATTGATCAGGAGGGATGCTTCCCTTCTAGAGCTTAGAAAGATTTACCAATTTCTTTCAACATCATTTGTCGGTTCACCCCATTGCTTAGCATGTCTATGTTCCCTAGAGGCTTCCTGACGTTTTGCTATGGCTCTCTTAACTTCCTCATCCCACCAACTCTTGGGCTTGTGTCTTCTTTTCTGGGGTGACTCGTCACGTGCTTTAGCAAGCTCTAGCCCAAACAGTCTAGTTAGATTTGTGTATGTCCACACAGTTTTATTATCTTCAGTGATTACTTTCTCAATTTGTTTAGTAGCGATTTCTATTTGCCTTTCTGAATGAAAATTTTCCTGTAGTTGCTCATCTTGTCTCCTTCCCATTTTTGCTGCTCTTCTAAAACTTAGCTTGATACGTTTGTGATCAATACCCAGACTTCTGGAGCCACCTTCATCTATGTGCATTCCCCTGAGCTTATCATACATCCTATGTGACAACAGTGCATAATCTATCGTTGACTGCAGCCTTCCTAACCTCCCATGTTATTTTTCCTTCACACTTCTCGGTACTGTTGCAAATGATCAAATTATGCCTTTCACACATATCCATGATCATTTTGCCTGTTGAGTCAGTATACCCATCTATATCTTCTATGTGCACATTCATATCTTCTAGTATAATTATCTCGCACTCTCCTCCTAACTTTTGAATGTCATTTGATATACACTCTACCATTGCCTGGTTTTCGTCTCTGGCCTATGTTCCCGTCCACTAGTATACGAAACCAAGGTGTGCCATTTGCCCTGCCACTTTCTCTTTTAGCCATAAATGTTCCTTGCATCCCTGCTTGACTCTGCCAACCCATGCTCTTATGTATAAATGCACCAGTTCCACCCCCCTTCTTGCTGCCTTCTGTTCTATTGCAATATTCCCATACGTAGTCCGGATTGCAGGGTGGTTGCTCCAGGTCCCGAAGATGTGTCTCCACAACCCCATATACCATCAGCTCCTCCTGCCTCAACTGCTCTTCTATCTCTTCCCACTTTATTCCTGCCACCCTGCATGTTAATATAGCCTACGTCTGACTTAGCTCGGCCGTTGTGCTTACGTCGATTTCGTCTCCCACGGACTTCGTGTGGCTTGAATACTTGTGCCTCTTTAGGTCCGTCTTTGGCTACACTGTTGTCCTCAGGGCTCTGGGTCCCCCTAAAAAAGCTATGGCTTGGCGACCCATTCTGTTAGCGACCCTCCTGCTCGTCGCTCCGCTGTAGTGAATGCCATCCTGTGCAAAGGGGCGAGCGCCGGGCTCATGATTGATTGATTGGTATGTGGGGTTTAACGTCCCAAAACCACCATATGATTATGAGAGACGCCGTAGTGGAGGGCTCCGGAAATTTCGACCACCTGGTGTTCTTTAACGTGCACCCAAATCTGAGCACACGGGCCTACAACATTTCCGCCTCCATCGGAAACGCAGCCGCCGCAGCCGGGATTCGAACCCGCGACCTACGGGTCAGCAGCCGAGTACCTTAGCCACTAGACCACCACGGCGGGGCGCGTCGGGCTCGTACACGTCTTGGTTAACTTCCATTACGCTGTATCCGAGTTGCCGGCTCAAACCCTTGATCACACAATTGGCCTCCACTACCCTCCTTTCAATCCCACGAGGCTGCCCCCAGACCTCTGGGACTGTGCATTTTGTCACATGCAAACTCCCAGAGGCGGTCCGGAGCTTACACGTCCCACCCTCTAACTTTCTCTGAAGGTTCTGATCCTTGCCCTTCAACACATCATTGAGCCCTGC